GAGGGAATCCCATCCCACCCCGTAAAAATTTTACAAAAATATTTTAAATATTTCAAACATCTAAATTACAAAAGAAAAAAAGTGTGATATTTTACATGAAGACACTAGTGACTAATCATAGTTTTTACTAATCATAGTTTTTACTTACCCTGTATATATATATATAAAGTCATGTCAAATGTCAACACGGTGTCCAGCAATAACCAATTTTAATTACCAATAGAAAATGTTCTAGACTTATTTTAAGAAGATATATATATATATAAGGAAAATGTTGGCGATGCGGGTGAGTAAAGGTGTATACAGACGGAGAATTCTCATACTTGATTTTTAGCAAGGAAACACTAGAATAGAATAGAATAGACAGGGGCGTAAATAAGGATTCTGTAAGGGGGGGGGGGAATTTTTTTAATTTGGATGAGCGCGCCAAATTTTTTTTACCCCCTCCTCCCCCAAATAAATATATTATGATGTATATCAAATTATTGGTTTTAGTTGGGTTTGATTTGCATTTTCCACCTTTTTCTGGCATTTAAGAACTCCATCAAATAAAGGCAATTCATTTCCTACCTATCAGTATTCACCTTGTTTTATATCCTTCATTATAGTCATTCATTTTACATTAACTACAAAGATCTGTAAAAAACTGAATTTATTTTAGGTAACATAATGTAACAGTGGGCGAGTTTTGTTGATCTTTTACGATCAGCAATTCAAGGATTTTTTGGATCGCTGAGATCATAGCTACCAAGGGGAATCATGCCCCCTTCCCCCCCCCCCCCAGCTTTAACCCTACGGTTGGACTTTAGAGTCCTATTTTGAATCCTAACGGATTTATTTGAGTTTACATTTGGATTCTATAAATAACCCAAGCGACGCCGAATTTTCCGTTATCTTGAAGACCCAAGCGTTGGGGAGGGGGCGGAACAACCCCGGGGTAGCTAGGGTTAAATGCGATCCTAGGATGGAGCAAAATCGAAGGAGGACAGTTAGTTGAAGACCAGCTCCCTATTTGTTAGGTTCCCTTGAAGAATTCTCCTATTTGATGAAACTGATTTGATTCATAATATTTAGTTTGTATAAGTATCGTTCGATTTAGAGTTTGTATTTTTTGTATCTTTTGTATATAAATATATCGTAAGAAAAACCGACTCGTAGAATATTTGAGAAACTCAGTGCATTGCTTTATTGATTTTTATTCATATACAATAATAAATAACAGTTTTACACTAAGAGGAAAAAGATGTAACTTTTTTAAATGTTTAGAAAACCTACTCTGCAAAACTTTGAAAAAAATATTGACTTTGCTTATATTCTAATTTCTAGTTTCTAAAATTTTCTTGTCGTCAATGTACTATTGTAATGATGTTGTGATTTTGTTGATCTTTTACGATCAGCGGCTCAAGGGATCTTAAGATCGCTGCGATCATAGTTATCTAGGGGTCATGCCCTCCCCCCCCCCCACACCTTGTACAGACATTAGAATTATAACAGTTTCAGTTGTGTTTACGCGATAATTCGAACAAGCCAAACAGAATCTAAATATAACCCAAGCCACGCCAACCGTTATTTTGGAAGGCGGGGCGCAGGAGAGTCGGCCCGATAAGCTAGGGGAGGTAGGGTTAAGATCCAGGCTAGGGTGGAGCGAGGGTTCCCGGAGTGGGACAGTTGGAAATCAACCATTTCGATGAGAGGTGGAGGAATACCCTGAGCATCCATCTTCCATTATTCATTTCCATCGATCATATAGTATTTTTAGTTTCTACGTATTTGTGTATAATAATAATAATAAATTGTAAAACCGTATCTCGGAATATTTGATAATTGAGTTGTTGCGTTGAATTTTTAGCATATACAAGACTATGTATATTAATTTCACTATATTAAAAGAGAAATGTCTTACTTTTTAAAATTGAATTCTTAATAATCTTGATCTTTTTATGTATATTGTATATATATCATATATATATATATATATGATATAAAAACGAGTAGGTAAGAACACTTTTCAAGTGACAATCTGAATATAATATTATCTGAGTGGGGGGGGTAAAGGAAGAAGGATTAGGGCATTCCATACTCCTTGGGTATCAATGTTTTTTCAAAAAAGGGATTTTCAGGGGGGCACAATGATCTCCAGGGGGGCACACAACTTTTTTGTCAGTGCGCAAAATGTGCCCCCCCCCCTTACACAAATGCTCTTGTTCTTCCCTGGATGAGGTAGAAATGATTTTACAATTTGGTTGTAAAGGAAACTTATCGCTATTAAAATTATTGCTGGCAATCAAACTAGGCCGAAAACAGTGGAAATATGTTAAAATTTAAAAAAGTGTTATTTAGGGAGAGTTAACCTAAAACCTTTTCATAGAAATAATAGTAACTGATCTTTTTTTCTCTAAAGAATAATAAATTCAAAAACCACGTTTCCTAGTAATCATGAAAAATCTAATATTTTTCTGAACAAGTGTCTAAATTAAAGATACACATTTAACTTACACCAGAAAGTTTCCAATTTCTTCCTACAAATAACATTGCATCAGTATTGGAACAACTCTCCAGGCGCGCAACTAGGGGAGGGGGCAAGGGGGCACGCCCCCCCCTAGCTTGATTAAGGGGGGGGGAAGAAGTCTACCCTGTTTTCCAATTTAGCTGAATTCATGGGAAAGGGAAACGGGGTTTATTAAGTATATTTAGATATTTTCACTATCAGTTCTGCCACTTATTATGATATTGCTTTAATACTAGCTGTAGTATATATATATTAACCAGAATACATTTCTTTTTTATTTCATATCAGATGTGTTGACTTACTAAATATCGGTTGGTAACATTAGTTTTGATGATGATTGATGATTGATGATGATTGATGATTGATGATGATTGATGATGATTGATGATGATTGATGATTGATGATTGTTGATGATTGATGATTGATGATGATTGATGATGATTCTTACTCTAAATCTTAAACGGATACTGAAATTTTCCAATTTTACTTCTACAGAAACATAAGATAGCATCAGGCGTGGATCCAAAGGGGTGTCCTAAAAGTTTACTGTCACTTGTTTTCCAGCAGATACTTTAATATGCTTTAACAAAACTAATGCTTAAATCAAATCAGCCTATTCTCTTGGGAAAAAAGTATCTATGAAATTTTAAAATATGTAGATGTCAATTTTTGTGTGAGTGTGTACACCCCAACACTAAATGTGTGTACTCATCCTCCTAGGGACCAAACATGCAAATTTGTCACCCACGAAACTATCGTTTTTAGTTCATTTTTGCCTTATGTTTTCACCTAGGATAACAAATTTGCATGTTTGATAATAGTAAACTTCTACAGAAGACAATTTCAAATCGTTGAACTCATAAATTCTTTAAAAGTCCAAAAGTATTAAAAGTTTCTATAAAACGAATCTATCAATTGCCCATCGCTATATTTAAACCCACAGGGTTAACCACAAAGAATAGGAGTTAAGAACAGATTAAAACTCCACAATCTTAAATCGCATCCTTTGGGGTAACTTGTAACATAATTAGTCACATGAAAAAACACCCCATGAACCTTTTGCAGTTAATATCTTAATCTTAAACAATATGTAAAATTTTAATTAGAAATTATGTAATGCCAATGGAAATGGAAATACAGTTTTTTTTGAGTAATATGTCTGAGTGAAAAATTGTAAGTGCAGCTCTAAGGTAGAAATATTTTTACATACTATAAGAGTAATTTTTTGTTTTTAGCCCTTAATTACTTACTTTTAATGCTTATTTCTTTTTTTTTTAAATTGCGGGGGCTAAGCCCACCTGCACCCCCCCCCCCTCACTCACTACGTTTCGCTCGGTATTATACCCAATATTATTCAGACTTTGACCCCCCTTTTTAAAAAGCTGGATCCGCCCCTGGATAGAATAATAATAAAAGTAGAACTGAAATTGATAATGTGATTAGGTATCATCCAATGCCGCTTTTCTTAAACTTTCTTTAATAACCACCCTATTAACATCTCTGGTATTTTTCATTAAGTGCACATTTGTAATCAATATGATAGTTTTATTGAAAAATAATAAGTTGCAAAATACACTAATATGGAAAATGTTTTGCAATCATTTGCTTTAACAAAATTTTTTTTAGAAATAAAAACCTGGTTTGAGTTTACTATGAAAATGTCACATAAGGTTATTTATCCATTGATTCAACTGAGTAAGAATTCACAAAGGAATTGAGTCTTAGCCGCAAACTCAAATTTTCTTTACTAATATCTTTGCAACCATATGGTGTAAGCTTTTGACATTTTGGATCATTTTCTCCAACAAGTCAGTTTAAAATATCTTAAGGTATACAACAATGGGTTTAAAAAATTTGTAGCAAAAACTGAATTTCTTTCTTAAATTCATGATTTAAAAAATTTAGCATGTCATAGTTCATTTCATTCTGAAAGTTCTTCCACTAATAGATTCAAATGTTTCTATTTTTGACTAAATCTGTTCTGCTCACATTAATTAATAGTTCTCTCACTAAGGGATAATTGTTTTTGAAAACGATGGTTCTTTGTTGTTTTTCAGATCGTTTCTGAAAACAACCCACTCATTTTGAACTTTTAGAAAACAAATAATGATCGTTTTTGAAAATGGTTATTTTTATAAAAATGATAATAAATCATTTTTTAACGATTGTTTTTTCAAAATAGATTGTTTAGGTTTTTTGTCGTCATTTTCATAACCAAAGGATCGTTAAAAAAAAATTAAAAACAATCTTTCTATACTCTTTACTATAGATACTCTTTTAAACAAAAAATATATTTATATCCATTCCTAACATTCATTTACTTTTTCAATTACCTAAAACCTTAATAAACTTTGTCATTTTAATCACAATTTTATTTCAATTTAAACAAAGAGAACAATTTTAAGAAAATCAAAATGCAGCATTAGAACATGTAGAAAAATATAAACTTTTGGTAATTTAAAAACTAACAGATATGTGAAAAAAGTTTAATTCACTATTGTACTTTTATTCCTTAAGGTAACTGGGTATCATTTATTTAGGATTTAGTTGACTCATAACCTAATGTACATCCAATTCTGGAGAAGGTTAGTCAGGAAAAAAAGCCGGCACTGGTATTAATTAAAGTCCTGAGGAAATTAAGTGAGTTTAATATATGTTTAATTTCCACATGAAGTTTCAGATGGCTGAATGCATACAATTCACATAATCCAGACAACACTAGGCTAAATCAGAATCAAACTTTCTGGATACATGAAGTTCATAATGAGATTTTTTTAAACCCAACTCTTCTCTTTAGAACTATGTACAAATTGCATTTCTAAATACAAAGAATTTTTTCCAGTGAAAATTTCCCACGGACACGGAAACGGAATTTCCGGTGGATACTCTTAAGTGCACACAGAAGTTTTATCAGTAAAGTATGTGAATTTTGAACATGGAAGCATGAACATTGGAAATTAGCATCCTCTTTTAAAGCTTGCTAGTTTACAATATTGATGCTTAAGTTTCCATTTTGAGCTTTCTCATCTGAACTTTTGAATCCGTTTGAATTTTGTAGATTAGGGTGAATGTGAAACTTTCTTCATCAAGTAGTGTAAGGGGCAAACGGAATCTTGATGTTTTCTTGGAATTTCCGTGTATTGTAAATTTACTACATTTCAATTTAACGGACCTAAAGTATAGTTTATAGGTAATATAACTATCCGCTTTACAGGTTATCTGTATTTGTGAAACATCATCAGTTCCAATAAAACGAATGTTGTTTTGGAGAGAGGCAAAAAATGGCCTCTGTCCAAGCAGCTTCCGAATCAGCAATCCAGTTGCTTGAAATGATCCTGTCTCTGGGCTTGTTTCTGGCTGATATTCACAAATCCTGCAACAAAATATCCATTAGTGTTTGATACCTAAAGAAATTGTTTATAATCTGCATGTTATAATATGAGAAAACAATGAAGAAGAAAGTAACAAATTGTTTAACAGTTGCAATGGGTTAGTCTTGTTTCCAAAGGGGTTCAAAATATTACTATTATCATTTAATTCACCAGTCTTTTATAAATCTATAAGAGCCAAAGGAACTGAGCTTTTGTCACAAACTCAAATTGTCTAATCCCTATATCTTTACAATCTGATTATGCGAACCTTTGATATTTCAAACTTAGATTATTTGGTCTAACAGAATTCACAGTTTGAAATATCAAAGGTCTAAAACATTGGGAAGCAAAGAAATAAATATTAAAAAAGTACAGTTTGTGACAAAAACTCAGTTCCTTTATGCTGGATGCAATCAACTGAGACTATTTATGTAACAATTTGAATAATGGAATGCAAAATAACATTATTCAATGTTAAAAACCAAGTAAAAAAAGATGCCCAACACTAATCAAGGCTAGAGATCCATGTCAAACTATTAATATGCCAATTGGCATGCAATAGTAATAGGATTTTCTGTAGAGTAGGCTATTTGGACCCCCATCCCCTATATTAAATTTTGGCCCAACTTATCAACACTATGTTATTTTTCAAAATCTTTATTTTTCATTAACACCCCCCCCNCCCCCCCCCAGCTCAGATTTAAAAGAGGTGTAATGTTAGATAAAACACTGCAGTGCAGTTTGTACAGTTTAAAACAAAAGCAAATAAAAAAGCTGCTAACCTATCAGGCCCTTAATTTTTTGTGAAACCTCATGTAACCCAGGGAAGGTTAATGGATGTCAAAAATTTGCCTCAAACAAATTTGAAAATCCACAATTTTTTTTTATAAAATCAGCAAACTTTTTTTTTGTTTTAGTTTTACAATTTGTACAAAGAGAAAATGGTCCCAATTGATGTAGGAGGATATGGGCCCTAAAAGCCTGGTATTTAAAATTTCACAAAAACCAAAAGCTTTTGAATACAATTTTTTGTAATTCTGAGCACCCCTAAACCTTCCCTGAAATCATGCTAGGTCCCACACAAAATTTCAGCCCAATTAACATTTCGTTTGCAGGGTTTCCAGCGAACAAAAAGTTTCGCAAAAAATGCAAAAAGTTTACATTTTGCAAAAAAAAATTTGCAACATTCTTGCATGTTTTTGCGACATTTTTGCATTACTTATTTGGTGAAAATTTCCCATTTTTTCACGTAACAGATTGAAGCGAAATTTCGCAAAATATCGAAAATTTTCGCGAAATATGCAATATTCCTGCGAAATGATTTTCCTTTTGGCTGGAAATTGGTTCAGCTATTTTGACGTTTATTGGATACAAACAGACAGACAAGCAAATTAAATATGATAGTCCATACAAAATTTTCTTTACCTCATATGGGCTTTTAGCTTCATAATATTAGCAACTTTGCCACATCTCGAACAACTTCTTTTTATAGGCAAAATCATAATGCCTGTATCATAACTTGTATCAAATGTACTATCGTCATAGGCTGGTTCATCAACTGAAAAATTTATTTTGAATTATCTATGAAATTATTTATTACTGGACAGATTTGGATTCTTTCAAGAGTATAAAACATCTCTATAGTTTTTTTTTGTTGTAAAAATATTTTATCTTATCTTTATTCATAAACAGGCCAAGGGAGGGGGTGTAGATTATTTTTTTGAACATTTTTTAGGTATTTTTTCAACCCAAACTGTTGAAGTTATCAGTCCTAACTTTCTTCAGTGAGCTGGCCTTGAAAAATTTGGCTATGAACATGCATTTCAACCCTATACCTATACTAAGGCCTTTACTAGTTGAACTTTGATATTTAAAAGCCATTACCTTCGGCTTCAAGTGTTTCATATCCAGATTCTTGATTGTGATCTTGATCCTGATGATGTTGAAGTTCTTTAAGTGACTTGAAGCGGTTTCTAAACAAAATTTTAATTAGTGCATTTTAGGGCATTTCTCTTCTTCACTAGCTAAAATAAGATACAACATTTTTACTGAACTGGTTATCACAATCTTTTAGAACATGTGTAAAATAAATTAATCTTTCAAGAAAAGAATTAAAATGAATTTAAAATGAAAAATAAAGTGTTTACCTAACTGAACAGCTATTACAGTTAAACTCATCTCCTTTCCCATTTTCGCTTGCAAACCTCACTTTCATCTTCAATAAAAGTTTGATTCAGCTGAAAAGCTGAGGGTCTGGACTGTAGAGTTGAGAGCCTGGGAAGCTTGATTATTGATGAATTATTGGGAATATTGTGGTACAACTTGATGTAACTACAAGAGAAGTTGAGAACTAACCAACTGAAATCCTACTCAGGAGCCCGGTACATCCACCCGCGCTTTTGGCCCATCCAATCAGAATGCAGAGGAAAGTGGTCCCTCTTCCTCCTACTCTACAGAAGTTGAAAACTAACTACTAGAACTGATAACCAATTCAGGCCGCGGCACTTTATATACCCAGGAGCCCGGTACGTCCACCCGCGCTTTTTACGCATCCAATCAGAATGGAGAGAAAAGTACCCTCTACCCAGGGCTCATAAATAATTTCTTAATATATTAAATAAAACATTTTTATATTCCTATTCATACTTAAATATAAAACTATTTTCAAAAAAGTAAAAAAAAAATAT